AACCCAACTGCCACACTCCCATACCATGTTTATTCAGAAGTAAAGGGATGTCCTATTTTACATTTTATTCTGAGTAGATGACTTTTCACTCCGCAGTGTGACAAGATCCAGAATCAGTCCACCAGATATTCTGTATCCCACAGGCTGGACAAATTTCCCTCTGTTACAGGTGTAATGGCAGCTTGATCAATGTCTGGGTGCAGTCAAAGGATAGCTCTTCACTGGTCACCACATATATATTGATGAGCTGGTAATTTCTGCTCACTATTAAAAGGATCAACACATATATACTGATGACCTGGTAATTGCTGCTCACTGTTAAAATTGGAGACTGCTGCTTAAGCTGGCTTGCCTAAAAAATGTGGGGTCTTCCTATCAGCCCCACTAAAAGAAAGCACTTCCCTAAATACAATTATTTCACCACATCACAGTCTTAATTCTCTGAGTAATAGGGTGGCTAAGATAACAATCGAGTAGTGGGAAACAGATCAAGCATTTGATATTCTCAGTTCACTCTAAAGCCAAACACCTGAATCTGTCTAATGACTTGCTAGCGAGAGTTTGACACTGCATGTGGCCTCAAAGTGTCTCAAGTGGTGGAGACATCATTTGTTTTTTGTAACGTATGTGTACAATACAGTATATGTATCGTTGGGAGTGATGTGACAAGTGGCCACCTGAATTATATTCCTGAGCCACAGCCAAAACCCAAAACGAAGCATTATGCCTGAACCTGTCCCAAGTCTCTTAAAACTAATTCCTGCGGAGGGAGCTGGTAGGAACGTTGGTTTGCTCGGTCAATGGCCAGGGTCAACGGCGGCACGTGGTGTATTCCGCAAATATGCCTGACTGTGAGGGCGGGCACAAGCCGGCGTGAGTAGGTTAAACGTTGAGTTTTATAAGGGCACCACGGGGTGACCAGCCCCTCCCCACCCAGCCCCACCCAGCCCCAACCAGCCCCACCCTCCCCACCCAGCCCCTCCCCACCCTCCCCACCCAGCCCCTCCCCACCCTCCCCTCCCCACCCAGCCCCTCCCCACCCTCCCCACCCAGCCCCTCCCCACCCTCCCCTCTCCACCCAGCCCCACCCCTCCCATTTTTGGATGCACGACGGACGGATACAATAATCCCCTGTGGGCTGGTGGTGTAACCAGGAGGTTCCTACCAGTATTAGTCCCTGCCTAGGTGTGTAGACGGCACTGGGGAAGTCTTTGTTCTTCTCCATAGCTTGCCGTATTAAGTGTGGTGTACCAGTTGACGGGTGTGTATGAAGTTGGTGTGGAAAACCCTAAGGTGACATCGTATGATATATATATACCACAGCTCGCTTTCGTTGGGCAGTGCTCGGTGGCTTGCAGACTGGGCTTTGAACCTGGGCCAGCTGAATTTGATTCCGGGCCACGGCTAACATCAGTGGCTCTGGAGCGGTGGAACTGGGCTGGAGCGAGGTGGTTTGGGAACGGATGTCTGACACCGACAACGTTCCTGTGAAGGAACCAGGGACAAATTCAGTGGCGGGTGGTCTATAGATTATATAAGGAATAAAAAAAATATTCGCTGGCTGGCGGAAGGGAGGGACGGTCACGTACGAAGAAGGTGCGGGCTACTTGATTTAAAAAAATAATAAGTTTGGCTGGCTGGACGGCGGTTACTTCCAATAATTATTCACAAGTGTCCGTCCGTCACGCTCTGGATCTCCCAAACGGTATGTGAGACTAACATGCGCAGATAATTGCGTAAAAAGCTCCGCGAATATACACGACACATATACGTGTATACGTATATAACATTGCTTTATTGCATGAACGTGTTGTAGCAGGAAAATCAATTATAATTTACAGGTCAATGCTCGCGTCCGACGCCCCCTCCCTTCCCATCCCCTTGCGCTGAGGCTGAGTTGGTACGGTCCAGATCGAGCGCTGTGGTGAGCTGTGGGGGGGGGGGGGGTTAATTGATGAGTTCCCCACTCATCTCCAGCACTGGCAGCGAGCAGTCTCAGCAACGTCCCGGGAGTCTTTCCCGGTTCTAAACTCCCGCACCGACCGTCGTGTCGTCAAACAACCCCGTTGACCAACGCCACGTCAGGTGGCCTTCATCCAGCAGTGGATCGACAATTGATTTGGAAGGGCAGACACGTTAAAATGAACGCGTGTTGTTTCTTGATGTTTAATTCCCTTCGTTTAAACTCCCAAGTAATGCAATTCGAGACACCATTTCTTTCTTTATGGTAACAATGCACAGTTGAGCAAGGGATGCATTTAAATGCGAATAAGTGGGATATTCGAGTGCCAAACATTTTTTCAGTTTTCGTTCCACGTAAATGACGCGTAATGATCCCATTGTAGTTCAATAAATGTGCTTTGTTTAAAATTACGCTGTTGTGTGCATGAATTCTCTTAACGAAGTAATGATACTGCAGACCCTACCCTGACTCACTTGAACACGCAGGAAAATGAATAGATGAAGAGCCATGAATTGTTATATAGGCTGTACACCCACGAAGCTGCATATGGGTGGGCCACGTCGGATTGTTACATTCGCGATTACGAGCAAACATTGGCTCAACTTGACATGTATCAATATCACCTCGGTAAATATGCTCGGTTCAGTTAAAGCATACGGTCTCAGATTGAAAACAATATTAACCACTGCAGCGTCAAGGAAACAATTGTGCAGGTTATTTGATCATATGTAGACTATACGCACCCTTAGCATGATGCAATGCTATTTTGTTTGACGAGGTCTGCTAAAGGTTAGTACTCAAACAAAGTTCGAAATGTGTCATTCATCATCATGACGTTGTGAAATATGCCAGTTGTGTGCAGAACCGTTGAATTTCATTTTGCATGTGAAGTTAATCCATTATAATAAAAAAGCCCAAAACTTTAACGTCTCTCCAAAGATATTCATATTCACTGTGAAACATTTATCAAAGAGCGTTGTGGACGTATCACCGCTGATCTGTCACCAGTTTGAAACCACTGGGGTATGTTTCCCCTTGATGACATCACTACCACATCTGGACCTCTGCAGCTGCAATCCATATGCACGCCATGGCACTGTGGCGAGATGTGAAATACCTCGCCTGGTGTACAGGAAGTCGTGAGTACGATCCCGAGCATGAAGGCTGCTGTACATTTGCAGTTTGCATGCCTTTCTCACCCATGTTCATATGGATGTGTCGTTGTGCGCTCCGGTTTTTCCCTCCACATTTAGAAACACGTATTTAGAGTATTTGGCTGCAAAAAAATCCCACGCGATAAGTAACCTTCGTTAAGCTATTATTCGTGGTCAGGTAGTTTGTGAAAAGAAGCTATACAGCTCAGTGGGCCTTACCTGGTAAAATAGTAAAAAATAAAGTTCTATCATCTTAATTTCTCAGTCTTGCCTTACGCTCTTGCCTCCGTCCAATTAATAGCACTCGTTCTGATTCATAAGTGACGTATTATATCATATCAACGGCCTAATAACTGATCACGCATCAAGATCGTACGCCTGCAATTGGTTAAATAATATAATCAGCAGACCGCTTGCTGAAACAAAATAGGCTATTTGTTGGAAGGATACAACGGAAATACATCAGAGTATTCTTACCTCTGGTAATTGTTACCTTACTCTTTGGTTCTTTGGGTAAAGTCACGTAGGTATCAATTAAAATAAATCACGGCGTCTCGAGCGAACACAAGCATGCTTTCACACCTGATGACGGATGCTTGTGTTGCGCGCGAAACGTCGTGATTTATTTTATTTTATACCTACGTGACTTACCGAAATAACCAAAGGGTACACATTCCTGCAGTCACGAAAGCTTCAAATCATAATTGTTACCTGCGGACCGGGATGAAAATGAATATAAAAAAATAACTTGAGAATAAAAATCAACAAACAAATCTGCCTTAAAGAGAAATATTCCAATCAGTGCATGCTACCTACGATGACCAGCATCGGAGAAACATGGACAACGACGAAGAAAATAGAACAAATACTGCAAAGTGAACAATAAAGAAGAATGGATAATTTTACCGAGAGATAATGTGACACATGGATCGGAGAGTAATCGCTAGAAGGGATATCCGCTGATGGATGAGATTGGTGTTGGAATGGCAGGCAATGGGAGGTGAAACACGCCTGACGTCCACCGCTGAGATGTAGCGACGAGATCATCGCATGCACAACAGCGGCAGGAAGAGTTGTGCCATCGTGAGACCGGTGACGACTTTTTGGACGTCTTCATCCAGCAGTGAATATACCATGGACGCTGATGATGTCACGCTGCATTGCGGTCACTCAGTATGCCTTCTTAATCAATGTAAGTGCTTGTTTTACCTGTGCGCTGTAGGTGAAATAACAAAGACACATGAGTACGTGGTGTTTTCTTGCATCTTAGTCAACTGTACAATATTCACAATCGCACAGCGTGTCATACCCGCACGAGTACACGTATGTAGTTTATACACAATAGGAATATAAATGTATAATGTTCATGTATTAACGTACAGGATTTGCGAAAACTCGCCGCTTCTGTGTGTGCAGATGAAATGTTAGTTGCTGATATTGTAGTACAGTATACCCAAAAAAGTATAGGTGGGCTGTTTAGTGATGTGAGAGTTCGCTTCCAGGTGTGTTGAGGGCCAAATACCTGCAGGTGCATCTTCAAGTCGAGTACTAGATACTCACCAGCCTCACGAATACGAACAATTCACGTGATACAATCGTGCGGTCCGTTGGGTTTTTAGCACACGTGCCTGTCCAAACAAATTGACTTACCGAACCGTGGGGAATTGTCTTCCAAATGTGGGTGACAGTGCGGTCACTGCACGGGTCCCAGACTCAAGCGAATGGACTGCACGAATGCAACGCAGCCCCATGCCTCATAACCGACAAAGTTCCCCAACTCCAGCACTCACTTGCCAACTCGTCTCTAACTCGTGCCCTCTGGCGGTCGTGCGCCACGGCTCACTGTGTACTCTTTTTGCTCTGACTTTTTAAGGGCGAAGCCAACCAACCAACCACCACCACACAAACCACAATACAGAAAAAAATACCGGCATAATTTTTCAAAACACCCGGGATTGTTCTCAAATGTCACGCGCACTAAGCCACTGGGTCCCAACAGAACAAACTCCGCTGCGTCCCAAACGTGCAGGTGCAGCAATGTTGCAGACACACGCAGACGAGAGAGAGAGAGAGGGGGGTACAGCAATGACGCGAGAATGCCACCTTTGTCGCTGAAAACAGAAGAGATCCGCTCTAAGAAGGGTCAGCGGTGGGGCGTAGCAGCAGCAGCAGGCGTGACTGCGTCCTGCGGCAGTAGCGGCACTGAAGCCCTCACTCACAATGAGCGCGGCCGCGTGCCGCCACCACCACCGCCGCCACCGCCGAGTTTGAGCAAAGAGCCAGCAGCGTGCCAGGAACATTCACACTTTAGATGAACTTGTCCACGACTCCTCTTTGACGCCACCAGAGCATCACGATACTTGGCCGGGAAGTATTTAAACGCGGGAGCGCATTTGGCTAAGCCAGCTTCGGTCTTGAAGCGCAAAGTCAGTCGTGGAAGAAGCTTTTTATTGTGCGAGACTGGTGGAATTTTTTTTCCCCTCTCTCTCTCTCCATATTTTTACGCACACACGCACACACTAACACACTCCCTCTCTCTCTCTCTTCCAAAGTCCAGCAGCCCATGCAAGTGGCCATGATCTACGATGGTCGCTAATGTGCGTTGACGACAGTTTTTATTGCTGGGCATAAAAGTCAAGAGCGAGAGACGCACACACAGGGAGAGAGGGAGAGAGGGAGGGAGAGCGACGCAGAAGAGATATATATATTCACACCTAGTTTGCTGGACCTGGCCCCTGGGCTGTTTGTACAGCTGTCGATGCGAGCCATGTTCTCGGTGCTGCTGCGATGCTGCGCCCTGCTCTGCGTGCTCTCGTCCGGGGCGGGTGCCGTGGCGTCCTGCGAGCCCGTGCGCATCCCCATGTGCCAGAGCATGCTGTGGAACATGACCCGAATGCCCAACCACCTGCACCACAGCACGCAGGAGAACGCCATCCTGTCCATAGAGCAGTTCCAGGACCTCCTGGACACGCAGTGCAGCGCCGTGCTGCGCTTCTTCCTGTGCGCCATGTACGCGCCGATCTGCACCATCGAGTTCCAGACAGACCCCATCAAGCCGTGCAAGGCGGTGTGCGAGGCGGCGCGGGACGCGTGTCGGCCCGTGATGCGCCAGTACAACCACGACTGGCCCGAGAGCATGGCGTGCGACGAACTGCCCGTGTACGAGCGAGCGGTGTGCATCTCGCCGGAGGCCATCGTCACGGTTATGCCAGAAGGTGAGTTAACTCGCAGTGCGACGGTGGAGATGGTGAACGCGTGGCGTTGGCGGCGATGAAGCTGGTTGCGATTACCGGCGAAACGTCGTACTCAGATTGTAAATGTCGTGGCTTGGCTCTCCAGCACACCGGTGTGACAACCCTTACTGGTTGGCCGTGTCGGGTGGTGGCGAGTTTTCACGACACTTTTATATGTTTACGCGATCTAACCCAAAAAAACCCCCTCGATTATGGATGATATTGGTCGCGAAAGCCTCCTACGTGTTAAACTTGGTGGTGGTTGTTGGAGGTGATGGTCATGACGACGATGGTGGTGGCGGTGTTTTTGATGATGATGATTATGGTGCTAAGTGATGAGGATGATGAGTGATGAAGATGATTGGTAATCATGTCGACGGAAGTGACACTTTTATGATGATAATTGTGTTGGTATTGCGTGATGGTTGTGCACGTACACGGCTGCACGGGAATTTACAACTTTACACAGTGGACCTGTTGAATTACGCACGCGTTCATTCAAAGTCGGCGTTCTATCATCATTGAATTCACGTTGTTTATGATCTTTTAAAAAAAATGCATAGTTCACGCAACGTGCTTTGTTATATAAAGAACGGCACTTATATCTCATCTGTGCATCAAGTGCACTGTAAATACGTTGTAAATCACTTTTACATTTGAACAACTTTTTTTTTACGAATTCCTACGCGTGAGTATGCAACGCGTGGTATGTTAACACTTACGAAAAAATGTTTCGCGTAAATAATTCTTTGGATCAGGGCTAACAGATTGATGCCATTATCCCACTTAAAATAAGTCTCGTTAATCAGTTTGCGGGCGCACGCAAGGCAGATGTGAGGTGTGCACCTTGGTGCCTCATCTGCGCCAATTGTGATCGCACATTCTCAACCACACGCTCGAGTGATATCTGTCATTCAAACCACGTTTTTTACAAATAAAGGTTTATATATATAAAAAAAACGCGTCCCCTACACGCGTGCTAGTATGCTATGTTTCGTGTTCTTTTGTATTTAAACATGACAACAAGTAGCAAAGAGCGACGAGGCGGGGGGGGGCGTGCAGTGTTACAGCAGCAGCTCTCGAAGTGGTTTAATAACCCGGCCAGGGTTTTATAAGGTCCCAGGGCGGTCCCACGTTTAACGGTATGAAGTCAAATGCATTAACCTCCCTAGTGTGGCCTAGGCAAGGGCGCGACGCCGAGCCATCAATACCGTGCGATAACAAGGCGCGCACTTCACACGACCACCAATAAAAACGATAAGCGACGCTTTAACAACGCTGATAACCAGCGCGGCTCTAAATCGCCACCGTCCACATCGCCCCCCCCCCTCTAGCCCAGACTAAGCCGAAGCGAATTCCGCATCTCGCATATACAAAAGCACACTGGTGCTGTGATTATCAGCACCAGAATATTAATTTATACTGGAGGAATCCTATGAGCTATAAAGCTCTTTTTCACAGACGTCCCGACTGGACATGAAAATGTGAAGTGCATAAAGTCACGTGTAAATACAAGTCCTGCGTACAATAAAGCACACAGCCAATGTGCATTATGCAAAATGAAATTAAAACCCATCACCATGTCCTGAATGAGCGCATTGTGGTGCTCATTTTATTCCAAGGGCCGCTTTCATAATTTTTCACCGAGCTTGGATCCTCTCGAGGCGCTTTTTCACAAAATCATCGAGGAGCCTTCGGCAAAGCGGCGAGTCGCTTCGATGTGCGACGCTCTGCCTCGTAAATTGTACTCCTTGGTCCCTGCCGTGCGAGCGCGTTGATGACCCTCGGAGCGACGCCTACGGCCACTTGCGGATAAACAGTCCAGGGGGAGGTGAACTCGCATTTGGACAAACATCTGTCGACGTTAACCCTTACGACTGCTCGTTTTTTTCCCCCTCCTCTTTGCACCTGAATTCCCGCAACTTCGGCGAAAGGAACCCACCAGAGAGACGTCGTCCGTCTCTCGTAGATGGGTTAAAGACAGAGCGTTGGAATGGATGGATTGGCGATTGGCTAGACTTCACCCCACGAGCATATTTTAGCATTTCATATTCACGAACAAGAACATGGTTCATTCGGAAATGATGAAATGCACAGTTTTGTATGCAAAAGTGTGCCTTGCAAACAGCTCTAGAAATTAAGTAAAAAAAAAACTCACAGCAATGCAGACACTGCAGAAGGTTTACATATGAACTTCTCTCTACCTTATGCTTTATTGCCGTTTATAGCAGGTATATCTACGTGTACAGGCATACGTATTTGCGGTGTTGCATTGCGCCAATAGCCCGCCAGTGGACTTTACTGCCGCCAATGTACGCTCATGGTGTGTTTGCCGAGTTTGAAAACAAGCACTCCGAAAGGTCGTGCGTGACAGGTCAATTAGGAGCTGCAAATTGCATGGGCCCGGTAGGGCGTGCTACTATTTCCACCTCAGTCAGCATGAAGTGCTTTCCATGCGCATCGTGTTGTTTGTGAGGACCACAAAACGTTTACGGAGAGACAAATACCCGCGTGGGTAAACTAGAGACCCGATTTCTCTAACGTGTGATTTTGAAGTAACCGATTATCACAAGACCGTATAAGCACACACGGCCTGGTCACTATCCATCTTTAAATTTTGATTTAAAGCTTTCGTGACTGCAGTAATTCATATTCTTAGCTCTTTCGGTAAAGTCACGGGCTATTGTTTTATATATATTTTATTATTTTATTGTTTCCCTTCAACGTGACTTTACCGAAAGAGCTAAGAATACTATCCATCTTGTTACCATACAACATACTTTCCGTGAGATGACATCTGCGTCATTGCATTGGACTCGAGTATCGTGCGTGTATACATTGTTATATGGTCTCAACATTAACATGGGACATTATCCATGTACGGAGAGCATGAGTACTCACGTGTGCAGTTTCTCGGGAAAAAAACTCACAATCACATGTCGTGCATTAATTTAACATCCAAACCGTAAATCGACCTTCATATGTACGTATGCATGCACGCAAGTGACGCGAATGCTTACGGTGCATTTTGACAAATATGTATAACAACATCCTTCAAGTGAAAGTTGTGGGGGGGGGGGTGACACTTGAATTAATAAAGCTAGCGGAACAACGACGCCGGGATAAGTGAGTGAAACAGATGGACACGTACGCACGGTGCGGTGAGTCACCATGCCAATGACCGTACGACCAGACGCGCGAACACCATTTGTGTGTCCGCATGTGGTGCTTGTCCAATGATACCCGGAAATGTGTGCTCGCGTGTCACTCAGATGAGAAGAGCACAGACTCGACGTCAGTCGTGTTCATGCAGACCGAGGGGCCTCACCCTCCACCGGCGTGCCGCAACAACAGCCCAGGTGAGTCTCTCGGCTCACACACGCGCACACGCACATCCCCGAGATAAAGTTCCTCTGTAAACACTCTTTAATCTACAGGATTGTATCGTCCAAATGTCTGAAAGCTGCAAGCAGTGAGTGGATGATTGTTTCAGCTCTGTTTGTGGTATCGCCATTGACAACCTAATTTTAAAAAAAAATGGTAAAACTATGATGGGGAGTTTTGGCAGTGGTGCTGCGCTGTGAACCCGCTGACCTGAACTGGATTCGCTGTCACGGCTAACGTCAGTGGTCAGCTATATCTGAACCGGTTTGTATCACCACCACCCCTTCCCACCAATTCCACTTCGACCAGTGTGGTGACGTATTGTCAAACAACACCCCTCCATTGGCAAGGTATGGGGAGGCCTTCAGTCATCAGTATGTTGACAAATTACCGCGACTTCTTGAATAGTCAAATATGATAGCATTTATAAAGAAAATGGATGATAAACATGCAGGGAGCCGATATTTTACAGTTCACAAAGGGACGTCGATCACCGTTGGGTAAATGTGGCTTCCAAAATGTAGTTTTGTAGTGGTGTCTTCTAGGGCCATGATCTCACATGATGTGATGCAGGATATCTCATTTGCACAGTTGGATACAGCTGACTAACATACCTCTGATAGTACAATGCCACATTGTGTAATTGGTCGTGAGAAAAATCTTAAAGTTGCTGCAAGTTAGAAAATTTGCCAAAAAATAGAAAAGCGTGAACGGTAGAATATGAACTAACACACGGTATCTATGGATACTCTGCAATATTACAGCTTTAACTTCTGACTCATGGAGGTAACTCGGGAGTCATGAACTAATAATTTAATAACAGAGAGGCAACGCGTGTCTCTTGGAGGAAGTTTACTGTGTGCTCCGTTAAACGATTACCCACATCGCGTGTTAATAATTTGATCCAGGTGGGGAGAGATGGGTTTTTGTTACATTCAGTGCTCATTTATACGCATTAGTCATATAGGTTTTTTTTTTATTCTTTTGACATTGATTAGAACTACACTCGTGCTGCCAAATGCCCGCGAACCTCCTTGAACCCTCTCTGCAAGCGTTTCAATAAACAACGTACGCACTAGCGTCGTTCCGTGCGGCGACAGCATGAACGAGCGCACCACACGCGCGTAAAATGTGTAATTTTTTTTTAATGAACGCCGAATGCCAGGTTCTGCTTATTTGTGAGGGTCTGACGGCGACAGGTGTCATCGGTTTGCTTTAGAGTTAAATAAACATGTGAGAGTGAACAGATTTTCACAACCTGATTAGTGCTTGTCCCTTATGATGGCGGTGCGACTATGAACCAGACGTCTTCAGAGACACTCAAATCTCACCGCACCCAGAACCACCAACCATACCAACGGTTACAATAATAGACAAAGGTAACTTCGGAGTGTAGGCTACAATAACATATGGAAAATATTTACTCAGTGTCTTGTTTATTATTATTGAATCAACTTAAAGGTGCTTGTGTTTGATTTGGTCTCAGAAAAAAAGCATCGACCGATTCCTCTGTCTCTCTTCTCAGCCATACGGTGTCTACTTGACAAAATTGCACTTTTAAACTAATTTGGTACATATGTTACATTTAGTACCATGTGGAGCGCATTTTACTTGAGACTATTAGGCAGGTGTGAATAATAACAGACTTCTGGAAGATATACATCGTGGAACTGAGGCAAGAACTGTCTGTCCTTTCCAGAAACGAGTGCGTGCCTTGCCACCTACAATGCAAACAAATTGCACAATTTTGGCAATTCTCTGCTTACTCACCTGCTGACATTGAATAATTAGTGTGCACACCTGATTCAAGATAACAATGTCAGTGGATGCATTGCAAACGATCATGCCTAACGTTTTAATGAAGTCATAAAAAACAGACAAGCCCATTTTACAAGTTTAAATGTCTGCAGAAATTTGGAATGCAAAAGATGACGTACGACGGACATTTTCATTTTAAAATAATGAAAAATAGACGGCTTCAAAGGAGAAAAAAAAAGATGAAAATCTGTTTCTTTTCCACAGTGTTTTTTTGAAATATATTATCATTTGGGTGGAGTATTGCAGATTCAGAACTGATGTACTGTAGGAATCCACCAAGACAGCATACTTGCACGGTGTATCTGATTTAAACTTGACTTGGTAGTTGTGTTCCATCAGCTTTGCCCATTCTCTGTAAAGTTTGGAATATTCTTGCGTGTTCAACGTAGGAGTCTCCAGGAAGCTGTCAGCTTCATTTTTCGAGGTTAGATGCCATGCGTTTTCCATGATGCGGAATATGTCGTGAGGAAATGTGCACATTTTTCCATCATTCTCATGCCATGCCATCGGGTTTCACTTTCTGCTGCAGAGCGATGCAAATGTCGAAAAATCAAGGCCAACCAAAAGACGTACACTGCCAAAAATTACAACTATGGTGAGTGCATTCAAGAAAATATCTTCTTTAAAGTTATTCCAACATAAATAAATAAAAAGATACAAATAATAAATTCATGGAGACAGGAACACACTTATGGGACTTTATTTTGCATTGTATTTGTTTGCCATTTTATTGACATGTAGTTGTTGACAAATGTTGTAGAGAAAGCCTTGAAAAATGGTAAGCTGAACAAGCTGGATACTCTGTCCCACAGGCCTATGATCTAATACCAGTGTTCAGTATACAGCCGTATCGTTTTCACAAGCTAGTTCTTAGCATGTGCCTTACTTAAATCCTCGAAGTTCCAGTTAATTCCTGACACGTTGGTGAATTTATGTTATGTTATGCTATACCGTGTAGCATTTTTTTATACTATTTTTTGCGGAAACTCAAAAGTGGTCATCAAATATATTGACTGGTCCATGATGTGAGATTGTGGAATTTCCATCACTGCTTCATGATCACTAATGTGGACGATTAGCACCTCATACTGTGACAATTGTTATTGTTGAGATGTTCTATTGATATTTTATAACCATTGCCTTACTGGTGAAGTGCACAGTTATGCATATATTTTTTGTAAAGCTTTCACAAACATTTAGTTGATTGCTTTGAATCCAATTACAGTGACAGTAATTCAAAATGACCTAATCGGTGTATTAGATTAAGCCACAGTTAAAACACGAAATGTAACGGGGATGCTGCCATGGTGCGTCTCTTGCTGCGACAGTTAAAATAGGTGGCAAATTTCATAAACCGCTCAGCCTCTGTCCATTCAGCAGTATAAATGGGTACAGCAGAGTTAGTTGATTGGCAGGTTTCAAGTTTCATTTATTAGGTATAGCCCTGTGAGCCATGCGGCTCTTTAGTCGGGTGCAACCGCAACAAACAAAATATGAACAGAGAAACATCTTAAAGCGACGACGCGCAACAGAAACATCCTGGATAAACCAGCAAATCTTTAAAAAAATTCCCACCGTATTACAATGCTGTGTGCAGGTCGCGTGTGGTGGGGTGAATTGTGGGTACTCCCACCTCTTTTAAGACACCTGACCAGCATTGAAGAGTAGGCCAAAAAGAAAATCTTTGGAGGGTGGCACTTTCCCACCAGCAGTGACGTGAGAAAGACAATTAAGACATTTTAGGGCTGCAGATTTATCATTGCACCACAGGATGGTCACGCCGTATAGAGCCTCTGACGTTTGAGTGACGTGCTAATGGCGTGGCACCGCGCGCTTCACAGTGATCCGCGCCCGAGTGAAGGACGTTCACAGGAGCGGCTGCAGTGAGATTCAAACGACAGTGGAGGTGAAGGACGTCATCAAGTCATCGGGCGTCAGCATCTCGCGTGGGGACGTCCACCTGTACACCAACTCCTCCTGCCTGTGCCCTGAGCTTCTAACTGCCGACGAGTACATCATTATGGGCTATGAGGACCGCATGCGCACCAGGTGGGATAGACATCGGAGGTCTTCAACTTCATATGGCTGATCTCGACGTAGAGCAGTAACTATAATTGAACACCGAGGAAGTTAATGAGCCAAATGTATGTACTGTATGTATGTTGAACATTTTTTGGCAGCGTACGTAGCCAACCGAGATAATCGGAGGTGCGGGGGAAGGACAAAAAAAACTAAACACAAAAAAACTGCGTCGTGAGTATCATAGTGTATCGCAGTGATGATGCCTTCTTCATATTTGTGAATTGGACATTGACTTGCTCTGCCTGCGGGGCCATTCCTACATTTAAATGCACCGAGGGATTAATTTTGAGAACAATCAATGGGCAGGTTTATTAAATCCCCACTGCCGCTGTGCTTTTAGCAGTATAAATGGGAACACCTTAATTTTGACAAAAAAAATCTCTGTAAAGCTAACCGTTATGTGGCATTCATGGAGACCTGTGTAACTGTCATGAAGAATATCATTTAAATTCATAAATGGCAACTTATTTTACTCGTATTTGTAAAAAAAAAATAGCTCTCATTTACGAAATAGCCCACCATCTCTTGAAAGACCAATGCATTAATTATGTAAACAATGCCATTAATTCCATCTGTATAGATATGTACTGAAACTAAATACACAAGTAATGTACTCATAATGTGAAATGTTGCGAATATAATAACTATTACAGGTCTAAATACAGCGGTTCAATTAACTCCACATGCTTATACTCGACTCATATAGTCCAAGCATTCGTGTGACAGTTCTAATGGCTTTGACTGGAATTAAAAAAGCCTCTTAGGAATTCCATCTTAGAGGCATCAGAGAAGGCTAGTCACAAAGACATACACATGAGTGTTCAATCTCAGTTGTGGTGCATTTAAACCATTGAACTTATCACAAAGAAGATTAAACCTCTGCTGATGCAGCCTCTCCAGGTGTTGTGTAGTGGGGCAAAGCCTCACTCCTAGAAGATCCAGTTAATAATTTATATCAATATGAAAGTTAAAATTACATTTCTATCGTTAATTATATGTAATAAAAGTTAGTAGTGCCGCATATTTGTGAATTGAAGACGAATAATTGTCATATATCTGTTTTCCAGTTGAAGTATCGGTACAAAAAAATTTGAGGAATTTATTAATGTTTTCCCTTCTATATGATCTCTCCTTTGCTGTTCCCGTAGTATAGAACTCCCTCCCCCCCAGCCGTCTGTGCTACCTACTCCCTGCCCCTGTCTGCAGCCAAGGCTCACAACCATCCTCTTCTCCTCTGCCTTACGACTGACCGTCCTGTTGGATATGCACCTTTTTCCAAAATTAATATTAACAAGAAATTAACCGCTACACCTATATTTTTTTAATGAATAAAACACATAAGAGCATAGTAAACTGAAAAACAACACGTAAGCCAAAAAGACGCCCTCTAATATAAAATCGTACAAAGATGAAACATATTCTCCCAGTTTTTGGTGGATGTCAGTTTTGCAACTCTCTGTACGTCTTTAATCGCAGCTGCATTCATTCTAGACGCGAGTATAACTTGTCTCAAACAAGACGTGTTCTCATTTTCCCTGCAGGTTGTTGCTGTTTGATGGCTGTGTGGCTGAAAAATGGAAAGAACGTTGGGGAAAGAAAGTAAAGGTATTAATACACAAAGGTTACGAGCGCAGACATCGATTCCCAATTGCCTGCAATAAATCAGCGGGTTATGGTGTAACAACCTACTCGGCCGTTCCCGCGTCCTTTGAGCTTTTGGGCCAATATAAAAGGTACAATTAACAACCAAGTGAGGCACCATGCTTGTCAATGTTTGCACCCCCCCCCACCCCGCCGCCCACCACACGTATTGTCTGCGTCTAGGACATTTACAGCCTGACATTTCCAAAAACACGTTTCTCACCTGCTGATGCTGGATGTAATCTCCGGTGAAACATCGGATGTAAAAATGTCAATATTTTTCTTGCTTTTCAACATTCCGGTTTGCTGAAAAACCAAATCAATTGGCACATTTGCCCACGTGACAACTTGACTTGCTCGGCTTTGTCAGGTGGGTGGAGAGTTATAGTTAAACATGTATGCTATACCTTAACGGTCAAACCAAAATAAACCAATTACGAATCATTTCCACAACGCTCGTTTGAATAGCCCCCTTCACAGTTGCTGCTTGACAATTCGAGTATTATACAACACGCCCTCCACAGAGGTGAGTATGCTGCTACTCACCGGTTTGCATTCGACTTGTTCTATTAATTTACCAAGGCAACATGGTGGCTGAATAATCTGGCAGTTATCAATAATTTGTGAGATCTTACAAAACTGTGCATATCCTATAAAGTGGATATTAAATATCCACTGACCTAGTTGTTTCTCAGACTATGATGTTTTTTATGGATGTCAAATTCTATAGGTACATTTTTTGAATTAATAACACACAACTGTGTGCTGCTCACTAACAGCAGGTGGGCAAAACTCCAATCGTGCCTTGCATACATGCCATGTGATCATCGCATTGCATGTACAATGCTCTGAGTCTTGTCCACATTTTTAAAAAGAGCTAAAATAAAATAATAAAGTAATTCCTTCATGTCCAACTATGTGCAAACAGTTTTCTCTTACAATATAGATAAACTATCTAAATTAACTTTCTCCTTGAGAACCTCAATACATATCATATAAATAATTTATGGAACATAAGAGACTTCAATGCTTAAAAATCTAATGCTTTGTATGAACTTCTGCTTTAAACACAAATTAGACACTTGGGAAAATACAGGCCACATATATAATTGCACGGAACATATGTGTGTACATGTGGTAATTGTAGTTGTCTTAGATGGTGATAACAGAATATTTAAATAAAACATGTAATTTATGACTGGCAAGAGTCAGCCAAAAATAATTATGGTCCTTTAAGATTAACAGTGATCATAATAATACTTTAAATCATATCCATTTGTCCCTACAAGCTGTTATGCGTGATATTTATCTTGAAAACATTTACTTTATTAATTTAATCACAATGCAATGTCACGCAGTTATTTCCATATTATTCTAGTGGTTACGAAGAATGTGTTGTAAGCACATTAAAACTAGCATAACAACATTCAAAGAGCAACACCAAAACGTAAACAATGTGATGACATGTGTTTTTAGTTTGTGGCAAGAGAAGGACACTGTTACAATTGTGTGTTTGTGCGCGTATGGTCATGCCTTGATCTCTTGGAGCACTTTGCTATGCCTGCTAACAGCGCAGTTAATTTACGCATGCAACAACAGGTTAAATAAAAATAATATAAAGGTTGTCATTATTATTACTATTAATGAAACGAAAGACAGATCTGAATATTTCGGCCTATAGGCCTTATTAATTCTAAACAGACTGGGATAAACCATTCATCGTATGTTGGGGAAAACATAAATATAATAGATTCACTGTACAATCTATGCCTTAGTCTCTGTTGCGTCGAACTCTGCGACCTCAAGACGATGCCGATGCTGACGGCCTCATCCGAGTGTGCTGCTTTTGCTGTTGCTTCTTCTGCTGCTGCTGCTGCTGCTGTGTGTGGCTTAGCGCTGGGACCAGAAGCTGGGCAGACCAAAAGGCCCTGGAAGGAGCACCACAGGCATCAGAAGGTCCGGGAGCAGTGGCAGACCCAAGGGTGGCCCCAGCGACGACGGCAAAAACAGCCGCAGCAAGGACAGGGGCGGCCGGCCGAGAAGTGGATGAGAGCCTGAGACGGACGTGAGCTAGCGAGCGGTGTGTGCGTGGTGAGCACTCGGGCGAGAGTAAAAGGGGTGGTGATGTTTATATTGCACTATTGAACTTCTGATGTACAGCTGTTACTCTTTCTGACACCACTAGTCTCGAAGACTATTTATGAGAGAAAAAAAAAATTAAGATCAGATAGCAAGTTGTGATCAAAAGTAATAGTGAAGATCCTGAAATCATTACTTAGAGCTTGAGATTGTAATGTTTTGTGAAGGTTCCTCTTTTTTTTGCACAGCATATTAATCACTTTTTTTTGTCTTTAAATATAAATATATAAAAGAAATTATACATTATGCTTGCTGAGGCCTGCTACAATCAGCCAGAGTGCTGCATACTATGCTGCTTTAAATAAGAGAGTAAATTACCTCTAGATTAGTCTCCTGAGGAGTAAAAAAAATGCTGAGATTCACAGCTGTTATCATGACAGCATGTTACGTATCAACAGTGTGTTATGGTATATTCAGTGTAAATGAAAAAAAAACATCACTTTTAAAGGTATATTGTATCCTTTTAACAGCAAGTCGGCAGGCCTGCATTATGTTCAAGGTATATTGGACAGTGTTTCAGGGCTAGAAGTGTAACCCGCTGCATACATTGGCATTCTATAATTGTTCACATCCAGGCAACATTTTATTTGATGTAAATCAGTGAGGATGCATATGAAAGTCTGGTTCTAGTGAAGGCAAACCATGTAATGATGAGTTGCACCGAACAATATAAAGACAATTGAGCCATATTCCCAATTGACTGCCTGCAATGTGGACGTAAAAAAATGATACACATATATTTGAACGTAAAAATAAATATGGATTGTAAGGTATTGACAGTGTTTAAGCTTTTTCAAAATCTGAATAAGATGGTATAGTATAAGGGGGACGGCCAAAATAATGACACCACCACAAAATCTTGAACGGACATCCTCGCTCTTGGGATGTTTCAGCGCCGACTTTAAACAGCCAACAGCGATTTAAAAAAAAATGCGACCCTTTCTAGCCCTGTTTGCTGTATTGCATGGCAAAATATCTTGAGAATGAGATGTGTTTGCATCAGTATCTTATAATACGTCAATATGTAATACGCTACTGCGAGTGGACTGCATGGATTGTTTGCATACAAAAAAAAGAATGCACACGTTTCTAGCTAATCTAGAATGCACACCAATATCGTCATTCAAGAGTTGCCTTCGCCTGGGAGGAAAGGAGTTTTCCTCGTGGCACAACTGGGCTAAGCGTGCTATGTGCGTCAACAGTACGTTGTTCTGTGTAAGACCTGCACACCGCCTGATCATTTCACGCTGAACAGATCATCGCACAAGAGAAAATATATTTCCATTCTATGAATGACTTAAATGAATGACAAGAAGGATTTTTGAAATAGCCTTTAGGAGATATTGTAATTTTACAACACAAAAATAATGTTGTTTAAGAGCCCTGTATATTCAAAAGCTTCAGTGGGCATTGTGTGAAGCTAACAAAGTTTGAACTACAAGTAATGTACTTTGAGTGTGCATGATAAAGGCAAGTATACGGTATATCATGTATGTAAGTAATCGTAAAATGTGAACGTATATATCCGATTAACTCTAGTCGGCTTTCATTCTGCGCCACGGTGGGTGCATATGAATGGCTGGGAGTGCATGCCATCATTGGGACATTTATTTCTGGGATGCATTTAAAGCATTCGGTAATTAACAGAAAAAAAGAAAACTTCCACACAGAAACACGGTACGTGCAAATGCATCAGACAGTATAGTGCTGTGTCCTTTGATATGAGGGTGCTGTCTGCAAAATGTGTGCAGAGGTTCTGTGAATTTTTGATCTCATGTGCTCGCACCTGCCTTGTACTGCCTCTATAAGAAAGTGCCGCATCATCAGAATAAAGGATGCATTGTTGCCACGTCACTAACACGTATTCCAACGCACTGTTTCGTGAACTGGAAATGAGATGCAAAAAATACACTTGTACATTGCAGTCTAAAGGCCCATGTAGACTACGTTATTTTATGCTGATTGTACCCGAGGGACTAAAGGAGGAATGGAGTGGGTACCCCCACCATCCCCCCGCTCCTCTCCCTCTCGCCCCCTTTAAACTTCGTGAGAACAGAAACGTTTGAAAAATCAGTCCAAACAAAAATAATAACGCAATTTGTAGCGTGCACAATATTTAACGGACAAAACTATTACTATTTTACCGGGTAAGGCCCACTGCGCTCTGTAGAACTCTTTCTCAGAAGCGACCTGGCTACAAATTATCGCTCAACGAAGTGGCTCATAATGTGGAAATGTCGAGATCAACAGAGAAATATCCACGCGACCACAGGGAGAGCATGCAAACTCCAAATATACAGGCATCATTTTCGCGATCGAACCCAGGAACTTCTGCATACCAGTTGAGGAGACATATAAACATATAACGTGAGACATAACTTCAACCGAGAAGATGGATACAAATTGAGCAATCATTGGAAGGATGTTATTAACCAGGTAAAACCTTAACTGCTTTATGGTTGTTCCATCAAATCTGCCGGGTACAAGTCTACTTTTCCGAGTTAACTCCCCCCCCAGAATCCCCAGCTCTCTCGGCCTCCCACTTCCATGCCCGTCCAGCTTCACGTCCCCTCCCCACTTTCTTACCTATATAACCTCTACCAATATAACCTCTTACCACGGCAGCTCTGTCCCACTTCAGCAAAAATAAATTTTCTTGCTATGGTCTTCCCACCTGATGATGATTGCTTGTGTTGCAATCGAAACGTGATTTATTTTATTTTATACCTTCGTGACTTTACCGAATGAACCAAAGAGTATGGATTCCTGCAGTCACGAAAGCTTCAAATCAAGATTCAGTTGAGGAATTTAACATCTCGTCACCTTGGCGACCAATAAATGACCGTGACTCTGAGATAAAACAGTGCATTTGGTGATGCTGCGTTGGTAGTGGTGCACCAGTGCAAATAACTAAAAACTCAACACGTATGTCAGGGCATCTTTTGGCTGGCCATTGAACAAAGACAGTCACCGCATCGCGCGCTTTCAGATGCGCTTGTGCGACCGTCTGGAACGCTCTCTTCCTTCCGATATTAGGAAGCCACTGGAGCAATGCACTTTTAAATCGAGATCGACAACTTATTTAATTTTAACTGCTTTTTGTGTTGAGCGTGTCGTCCTCACCCATATGGCGTGAAAGAAGTTCAACATACTTAAAAAATTGCCTTAAAAGGAAATATATATATAACAGGCGACGTTTTTCGAGTTATGGCCCTGATATTGGTTAGTGACCTGTGTTTTTGTACGGTCCTTACACAGGAAACTTTTAAAAAAAGATACAAAAAGCACACGTAAGAATCCGATTAAATTATACAAACAATGAAAAGATCAAATATAATGGTTCAAATTCATTTTATGACCGTAATGATGAATAAGGCAAGAAAATCGCCGCTCATGCTGGACAAGTTATACATCCGTTGTGATCATTTCTCCTGCATGCCACAGTGTCATAGCAGATGACAACGTGCCATAGTCATAACATATCAGACTAGGCTGAAAGCTTCCGATCGTGCCAATGTGGATTAATGTACTGTAGGGCGTACAAAAAAAAATGCAAGATTTTAAAGGAAGAATTGTTCGTGCATTATGGCTCTCTATCTTTATAACATTTGTATAGAATTTCCACGTGAGGCACAACGTGTGGACCACAAGCACAAATCAGTACTCTTATTGAGCGGTATTATATGCGACCGAAATGAGAGCAGCGACTAATGAGCGACGAACCCCCACCCCCACCACCCTTTGTTTTGCTACATTTCAACTGCTTTTGAAGTGATTATGTGTGAAAAGCCAAACTCGTGAAGTATTTGCATGTCTTCATCGCTCTTCCTCCTCCTCCTCCTCCCACAGGCGTCCCCCCCTCACTCTCTCTCTCCTCCGAACTCTTACGAACTCCCCCCACCCCGCTCTCTCCTCTCTCTCTCTCTCGTTTACGTTCCTGTTCTGCCCTCCACACAGAGCCGCTCTGCCACTTGAATGCGGTTTGCAAAGTCTGTCCACAAGAGAGTGCATGTCAGATCGGTGCAGACATGCAGCAGACGTGTAGCCTTAACAGACTGCAGGGGCAAGTGCTGTTAGCGAGCACCTATGAAGGCCGGTACGGTACACGAGGGGGGGGGGGGGTGGGTGGCCAGTACCACGCCCGGCCGCCTTTGTCTCCCCCAGTCGCGATGTTTACTACACACACCGCACCAGGTACTCATTCGAGGCTGAGTCGACATAGGGGAGAGCCAGGACCGCTTTCAAATAATCGTCCACCGCTGGTGTTGGCCCGTGAGCGGTAATGGAACTCGGGTCGCCGGGATGAATAAGCGCAGCGCGTTGCACACTCACAAACACTCACAAACACTCACAAAACCACTTTCATTGCAATTGGGAATATCTCAACTGGATGCGCTCTCCACAATCGAGGGTCAGTGCAATAGTTCCCCCGCGTGCCGGCATTCGTGTCAGCAAGTTAACGTTAAGAAACGATAACAACGTGACGCTCACAATGTTCACCCCCATTCTACAGAGCTGAGCATTAAATGCACTTGTAAATGCACACCTGATGACGGTTGCTTGTGTTGCAATCGAAACGTCGTATGGAGGCCGTCCGTAAATGACGTCACGCGATTTTGGCCGATTTTTGACCCCCCCCCTCCCCCCCTCGTCACACGGGGTCACAAAAAGTCAGACCCCCCTCAAATGACGTCACAAAGCTCTGCCCCCCCCCCCCAAAACCATATTTCCATTTTGAAAATAAAACATGCTTCAAATCGCTTTAAACTATTGTCATTGTAGTGCGTATTTAATGTGGCGCTGCACTCTGATGTTGTAGGAGAAAACACATAAAAAATGAGGCGTTGGAAAGCTGAAATTTAGCATAAAATTCACTTGAAAATTTTCAACGTCTAACTAAAACTGCAGATGTTCAGAATATTATATTTAAATTCTCTTATAATGATAAAATATTAAAAGTTATTATAACTATAAAAATACTTGAAGCTGGGTAGTAGAACGAAGCAAAATGGAGAGTGCAATTATAACAATCACATATTCATTCCACAGAATGAAAAGCCCTGGTAGAATCATGAAAATCTAAATGTTTAAAACCAATCATTAAATTTTTTTACTAAATTTATGCTTCTCCATTTTCCTATGGAGAAGCAAAATGCTCCTTCATGGAATAAATAAAATGTGACCTTGGTAAATTTAAATAATCAAACAGTTACTAATGAAAATCAATCAAAATTAGTGTTGTTATAACAATTCTATTTAATTAAGTAGAACGTCGTTATATTTATTTAAAGTTGCGCATTTTGATGTGACGTCACATTTCTCAACCCCCTTCCCCCCTAGTCACACATCGTCACAAATGTCTGACCCCCCCCCCCTCCCCCCTAGGTGCGTGACGTCATTTATGGACGGACCCTATTCTATTATTTGTTTTATTTTCTTTCTCCGTGACTTTACCGAAATAACCAAAGAGTAGATGTTTTCATATTGGCCTAATTGACATCTGTTTGGCATTATTTGCGGTTTTGTTTTACCAAAGATAATGGACAGTTGACTGGTTCTGATAGAATTACCTTTGATAGCAATGACGTAGTAGCAACTGCGAGCTCTAATCATACCGTTTTCTCAATTTATTATTTTCTGAAACAATTACGATACAGGTGACAACAATGACGTTGCGTATGTGCCGTCATGATAATGAAGAAAATATATATTGCAAACTATATCACATCAATGACTGTTCTCCAGTAATTATATTGAACGTGTGTTCAGGAATCAATACTTTTCATAATGACAATATTTAGCAACCATGTTGTTTTTTTCTTCACACATTTTCCACTCTTTAGTCTGGACATTTTCCGTTCTGTATTATTTTTATTGCATATTACAATTTCCACTCTACCCTTTCACCGTCGAACAATATTTTGCACCAACGTCCGTGCTTCTTAACACATGTCATAGCAGGTAGGGTGCACGTGTTTAAACTTGTTGTTTTTCGGCTGCTTTTCGTTTATCAAAAGGTCCAGTTTTGTGAAAAGCACTCCGAGCTGCTTTCACCCTCTCCCGTATTTGACAATCTTGACCCCAATGTGGTGGTGGTGGTGGTGGCGGCGGGGGGTTGTGGAAGCGGGGGTGGGAGCAGGTGGAGAGAGGGCAGCAGTAGGCTGGATCACGGCCACAGCCAAAATCCTTCTTAGATCAGCAATAATAATATTTTTTAAAAAGATAACAATGTCCACTATGCATTTCAGGATGTTGTTATGGGCTGCTATGGGCCTACGTGATGGGCAGCAGAGAACAGTGCATCAACCCGTTGTTGTATTTACTCCCCGCCTTCACTAGCCTCCACCTGTGGGGGAGCTATTGCAACACCCCACTGCCCTTTGAGACCCTGCAAATTGATAATTTACCAGAGAAAAACTTAGATTTTATAATTACAATTAAAACTATTACAATTTCTGTACCGCCCACCTTTGATAAGTTTCTAGATCCGCCTTTGACCTGCACTAACCAGCGTGGTGACGTATTGGCAAATGACCCCCTTGATCTGCACGACACAGGGTGGCCCTTAACCGGCAGTGGATGGATGATCGGGTTGCTCAGATACCCAAATAGCTGTTGTGCCGATGCCGACTCTAAAAGACATGTTAAAGGCAGTACAAGACCGATGTATAATGCATGATCCACAAAACAGAGTACACTGAATCAAAATCAAAATTCAACAGGTGGCTCTGAGCTGGTAGCACCTAGACCATGGGTTTGAATTTGGGCAGCCGCGTGTGATTAATATGGGTTCCCAAGTGAGTTGATCGCCTCAAGTCTGATTTAAAAAAATGCAGAAAAAACAATTCTAGAATCTGT